TTATAGGACTATATTATTTTATAGGACTTTATTATTATAGGACTGTATTTCAGAATGTACTGATACGGCAAAAATAATTGAAACTAAAGAATATATTCTTTTTTGTTTAGTGATAATCAGCTGTACGTCAACCATGTAAATCATGTGTTTTTGATATTTTTATTTTTTTCCTTACTATTGTTTTTATTGCTCTCTTTCCCTGGGGAATCCTGTTTTATCTTTATACGTTAAATGCAAATGCCTTCCCAGTACTAGAACAAAACCTTTCCAGCTTCAGTCTAGATGGAAGTACTAGTGAAATAGAAAATAAATTTTTCCCTCTTTTGGGACAATATGATGGATAATTGGTAGCAGTAAATGATTTTTAAGTGCTGAGCTGCAGAGCCTTTTTATTTTAATTATCAGCTCAAGGTAGACAATAGTGACAGCTGAATGTTAACACTGTCAGGTAATTTTGCAAATTGTAGAAGGTATCAGTTGTACCTGCTGATGGATTCCTTTGGCATCTATAGCATAGGGGGTGGTTATTCCCCTTTGGCCAGGTATGGGGAGTTATCAGAATAAAAATGTTGCTAAGGCTTCTGCCTGGAATTAATTTCTTAGGAAAACTTAGTAAGGACCCAGCTGCAGAGAAATCGTTCAGTTTTTTGTAATGTGATGTAAATCTTTCAGTTTTACTTTAGTAATACTGGTAAGATAAATGGAAGGTAGTCAGTGATTCTTGCCTTAATGATGTGTCAGTTACTTCTGTGGAGTAGATTTTCAAGAAAGAGAAGAAAAAATGATGTGTGAGATTTTATGTTTGTCAGAGGAATCTGTGGCTTTCTAAATGTTGAGAAACACCTAAGTTAGGCAGATATGAGACCTTACCTGTAGAAATAAAACTCCAGAAACTAAAATGGAAAATTTAATTGGGAAATAAGAATTTAGACCATTTTATACCATACTATTTTGAGCTCCTTGAAAATAAGACCCATCTATCTTTCCTGTACTCAGAAGCACACTGCAGGTCTCAAACAAGGCCATTTTAACTTCCATTATATATGTACAGCCCCAGAGAGGGCACAGAAATAAAGACATACTACATTCATGCTGTTCCTTTTTTTAGTATTAGAATTTACATAGAGAAAAGTACAGGCAGTTTTGATTTGTGGTTTTATCCTGTTTGCTGAAATTTAGAAAAATGTAATGTTGATAAGCACATATTTTTAGCTTTAAAATGTTGTAAATTTTCTATTATGAGACTTTCTAAACATACAAAAAAGCTGAAAGAATAGTGGAATGATCACCCATAAACATACCATGTAGGTTAATAGGTGTTAACATTTTGCCATATTCACTTTAGCCAGCTAGATAGGTAGAGGATGTGTAGCCTTTATGTATAATGTGTTTTGTTTTTTTGCTAAACCATTTCAAAGAAAGTTGTAGACATCATGACACTTCATCCCTAACTACTTCAGCAAGCATCTCATCTTCCAAGAGTAAGGATATTGCCTTACATAACCACAATACAATTGTCATAGCTAAAGAAATTAACAATAATTTTGTAATGTCATGTAATATCCAGCCCATTTTCTGATTTTTCTCAACTGTTCCAAAAATGTCTTTTTTAAGCTATTTTTCACAAACCAGGATTTAATCAAGGTTCACACAGCACATTTGGTTATTGTCTCGCTCTTTTTTTTTTTTTTAGCACAAAAATTAGGTTTATTGAGGAAGAGCAGGATAGGTTTATAGAGCAAGAGCAAGATATGTTTGCCACATACGATGAACAGGCCCCCTGTCACAACAAGAGTCCATGTCTCTCTCTCAGTCTAGAATTGTCTCTCCTTTTTCCTGTTTATTATGAGGATGTTCAAATATACAAAAAGTTGAGTGAGTGGTATAATGCCTACCTGAATAGCTGTCAGATTCAAGAACTGTTAACATTTGCCATATTTGCTTTATATAGATTTTTTTTGTTGTTGAACCTTTGATAATAAGTTGTAAATGTCAAGACACCTCACTCCTGAATACTTAACGTGCTTCTCCTAAGAGTAAGGACTTTTTAATACCTAAGTATAATACCATTCTACCTGGGAAAGTTAATAGTAAGACCCTAATATAATAGTTAATCCATATTCAAATTTTCCCAGTCGTCTCCAAAATCCACTAGAATCCAGTCAAGGTTTATGCATTGCTTTTGGCTATCATGTCTATCTAATCTTTCTTAATCTAGAACAATCCCCCACTTTTTTTTTTTTAAGAGATGGGGTCTCGCTCTGTCACC